TGATTTGCAAATAAATTCTTTAAAAATCAGACAATGTGATTTTCTGGATTTTTCCCCCCATTTTGTCTCTCATAGTTTTCATATGATGAAAATTACAGGCCTCTCTCATCTTTTTAAGTGGGAGAACTTGCACAATTGGTGGCTGACTAAATACTTCTTTGCCCCACTGTAGCTGTCAACATGCGAATCTGGGAAAGTCAAAAAAAAAAAAAAGTAAAACAAGATTCTACAGAAAATATTCATTTCACAATGATAAAAAGTTCATCAAGTTAATTTTTATTGTGCTGCCAAGAGCCGAATTACAAGAAACCATCTTACATTTTAAAAAGTAAACAAGCAACCTGCCGAATTGCAGCGCACTCCAAGTGCCATAATATGCATCTATGCTATTTTTCAGAAAATTGTATCTGCATTTCTCTTACAAGAGCACAACAGGAACCAAAGTAAAAGAGTGTAATGAATACAGCACATAGGATAAATAATATCTTTAAAATAATAATAAAATAATAAAAAACATTTTACACCATGTCCTATATCCTGCAAATATCATTCAGAATATGGCCTTGACTGTAAAACAAGCATTTACAATTTTCCAATAAAGACCATTTATTCTTTATGAAAGGAATGGATGATTGACCGTGACAGAATCTGAATAACGGGAGAGTAATGTTTGGTTCAGTGTCTTCATACTAAGGATAAAATGCTGTGTGGGGGCAGAGGGGCTACATTTCTTTTTTCTTTTGGAAACTGAATTCATAACAGAAAAAAATGCTGAGCCTTTATGATACACCTATCGCCTTTTGTCTTTGATGCAAACAGCTAGAACACTTTTTGATATTCTAAAACAAGATATGTGATAATCTTCAGATTAATAAATTAGGTCATATAATAAATTAGGTTTTTCAGTTTTAAAGTTCAGTAATCTCTGACCAAGTATTTACAACAATACTTGAGAGTTCCTTTACAAAAAATACATTTTCTTTTCACATTAAACATATTGGGTATCTGTGTCTCAGGACAAGCAATTGTGAAAGTAAGAGGCAACACACAAGTGGGCAGTTAGTATAAAAGTGCCAAGACCTGTTTGGAAAAGTTAAAGTTGTGTGTACAGTTAAAGTTACAAGTCAAGCTGCAACAAACCTTCAGTGAGTTGTGGACTTTATTTGAATAGCTGCTTCAAACAACTATTGTGAAATAAATCCAAATGCGGATACTGTTATTCTGTGGAATTAAGGAGTGCTGCCTATACATTATCAGTGTCTCTAGCCAATGCATTGAATTTTAAGCCTTTTTAAGGCCATGCAGGATAAGAAAACAAACGCACACGCACACACACACCCTGAAATATAGCAAGTAGCGATGCTAATGCTTACTGCTAAAATTGTGCACACACTGTATATGTATGCAAACAAAAGGGCACACACATACACACGCTCATTTGTATCCTAACACTTCCAAATCAAATAAAACTAGATAAAATGAGACCACCTCATCTTGTCTTTCTACACACACAAGGTTAAGTAATAATATGGAATGCCTGTGTTTCTGTTCTGGGTAAAATCTCAGTTAAAAATACATTCAACAGGGAAAATACAAAATTATACTGATATATACTGTATATATAAATAGCATATATATACTGTATATATACATATATACATATATAGTATGAGTATATGTGTATTTATATATATATATATATATTCACACACACATATGCATGTGTATGTATATATAAAATATTATACACATATACACTTAAACACACAGAGACACACAGATGCTTTTTTTAAGCATAACTATATTTACATGGATATTTCTATAAAGCTAAAGTTTTAAAGAAGCATGATCTTTCTTTCTGAGCTTCCAAAAAGGTGCTTGAGTAATATACATTAAAATTAAGCAGCTTCCTCGCATGAAAGTTGCTTCTAGTCTGCATAATCAGTAACAGAAAAAAACAACAACAACCCCAACCCTTTAACATAATGATACAAAAATGAATCTGAGCAAGATCTTCATCCAACAAGACCTTTTTCTTCAAAGATAATTTGGTGTGTGAACCACCTGAAACAGACAGTAAAAGAAACACACATGCGCGCGCACACACACACACAGTTCTGGAATCAAACGGTGTTTAACTTTTCCTTCTTTTTTCTCCCTCTTCAATACTGTCGCCAAAAGATCCAGTGCTCTTCTCAGGAATTATACAGGCTTTAACCATTTGCTAACTGCCAGTCTGGTCAATTAGCATCAAAATGAAAAACAAAAAGCAGCACAATGTATAATTGTACACATCTTCAATAAATTTGCCCTTTTTGCTTTAACGTTTTCCTCACTGTATCATTCATTTGCTACTGCAGCTTCTGACCAGGTAGAAAAACACAGTTGCAGCTATATTGCACCTGTGATGCAACAGATTATCTCCTACGAGTTTATTTTTGTAGCATAAGAACCCCAAACTTTCTTATTTGAATTCAGTTAGGGTTCTGCTTATACTTCACTGCAATAAATGCAATTTTGGAGTGTCAGCAAAAAGCTATATTCTTTGACTCCAAGCTAAGCTGACCAGCTTTTCTTCTTTGAAGCTTCCTGTTCTAACCACGCAAGCTCACCCCAATTTTCTTTTCTCAAACAATCATGATTACTGTGTTACAAGCAAAACATCAACAAATTTTAAAACTTTGGTTCCAGGAAAACACTTGGTCAGAAGTGGGAATGCTTGTTCTGGCACACTGCAGGAATCAGAGTCAATCCTGACAAGGTCTCAGAGCTGTACATGAAGTCACAAATCCAATACAATCCACTAAGCAAGTGCATGATTCTAGTTTTATTTGAATAGCAGAGTCAGCCTTTGTTTCTTCTTAACTTCTTGGTAAGAGTAGCAGTTTCTCACACTGTCTGATAGAAATTATCTGCTTGTAAGTTACTCTGTTTCTGCATGCTGTAGAATCCACTGTATCTTGAATCTGGATCAGCAATTCTAAGCATTCTCTGAGAACTGTCCACTTGAACCATGGTGCCCTTCTTGCAGTCCACATACACCAGCTGATTATTTAAGCAAGAAGGCTGTTTGGGTGAAAACACAATACAGAAAAATGAGCATTCTGTATACAGTATGCTTTGATTCTCTATTAAATTGTGCCCTCTTCTTAATTGCAAAGGCGAGGGACACATGCACATCACAGGAACAGTCCAGCCAGCCAATCCCACAATCTCATTTAGACTCAAAAGCCCAGAGCACAAACACATGCTATGCTTTTGCGTTTGCTCAGGGCTCCATTTGGAAGAAGAGTACACAAATAAAATTAATAATGATTATAATCATCATCATTAACATGCGGTTATTGGAATGATCCCTAGCCTAAAGAACATGCTTAGACAAAAAGCTACTGTACCTTCTGGGCTTTGGCAAGTGTTAAGAACCTAGGAAGAGCTCTACTGGATGGAGCCACAAGCCATCTATTCCTGCGTTCTGTCACAATGGCCAATATGATACATTTTGGAACGTTATAAGCCCAGACTGGAACGTGATAGTCCCTTCCAACACTGCTTTCCAGCAACTAGTGCTGAATGGTTCCTCTCTCTGTTTCAGGAGGTGGTAAACAACTATCCTCCTGTCTCCTTTTAAAACCACCCAATACCACCTAAACAGGGAGCAAACCCCACACTCACTTGCACTAATGATGTTGCCTAGTCAGCTAAGGAAATGTCTGCAAGCAAACAACCAAGCTCAGAGAGCACCAAGGACTCCACAGTTCAACCCTGAGCTACATATATTCTCTTCTATAGAACAACCCAGTCAGTTGCCATTATTCCAACTGCTGGCAGTGTATTCCACAGTTTAACTATATGCTAAATGAAGAAAAGCCCTTTCTTTAATCAGTCCTGAATCTCCAAAAGCAAAGGTCTCTGAAAGCAATCAATCTTCCAAAGAAACAATGCTTCAGGCCATGTATCCTTAGGGGACACATAGAGAAGACACTTGTAGATCTCCCTTTCCAGAACTGTCTGCTTTTATTTAATTGTATGTGTAACTGCTCAACTGATTCAGGATAGCCAGTTATCTATTTATGCAGTACAAAAGCTATTTATTCCATTACCTTTGCTGGAGCTCTGTAGCAGGATACTGGTATCCACTGCTTTTTCTGATTGATAAACAAAAGTGCTATTATAAGAACTAGAGCTGTTATGAGGGGTATGGTTACCCAGGCAAGAGAATCAAGAGATGTTTCCGTACTTGGCTGTGATCCTCTAGTTTCTCTATATTCACTCTGAAGGTGACCCAAATCTGTAAAATGTATAAATAAGCAAATTAACAATAACAAATTAAATAATCATGTAATGGAATAGCTCAAGGTGAGATATACCTGAGCAACAAGAGTTTTCCAAATGACGTGCCCATAACTAAAAGCAATACTATAAGAAATATTTAGGTTCAAGTAAGTTTTACTTAGGTCAAGTACAGGCAGTCTTCAGGCTTGTCAAATCTATTCTGTGCACACACATGTGTTCAATAAATCAGAACTGTGAGCTTGGAATTTGTTTTCAGTACTAGAACTAAACTGTCATTAATTTCACAGTCTTTGTCACATGGACTTCTTCATTTTTGCAGCAAAATATAAATGGAAAATGCATTTTTATTATTGTTTTGGTTAAACAAGTGGGAATTAGAAGCTGCTGCTAATTTACTGTAAAATACCCAGCCCTTTCCAGATTCTTCAGTCAATCCACTGGAAAATTATACTAAGGTTCTTACGTTCCTGTTGTGCTGTTGGCTTGTTATTTAATATTCATATTGTTTTACACGCATTATCTTTATTATGGTCCAAGAACAGTACAAAAAGAAGTTAAAACAATCCAATAAACCCCAAAATATAACAGCATTATAACATGGTACGCTTCTGTTACTGGATCTGGAAATGACATAGCCAAAGGCACAAAACTTAGCAATTAAAATGGTGATTCAGGATCCCTGTCATTTAAGAAAATGTCTAAGTAACGTGGATCAAGACAACTAAGCAGTCTTTCCACTGGAGGCGAAATTAATTGAAAATCTAGCTCCACATAGAATTTACACCTTAGAAAGACATGTTCTAGGGTTTCAGATTTGCCAGAGGCACAAGGAAATTCCCTAAGTCCTATGGGGATTCCATTATATCTGCCATTCATAACTGCAGAGGGGAGGGCATAGAACCGTGCTCTTGAGAAAGCTCATCAGTGGTGGGTGTAAGATTTATATAAATAGCATGCACAATGTAGTTCTGTTGATTTGTTGGAGACAATGTATTGTGTTAAATTTTATGTTTTTGCCCTTGTTGATCTTTTATTTTATAATGTTCGCTTTCTCTTGTAAACAGCCCAGAAACTTGCCTGTTTGAGGATATCAATATGTAGTAAAGAAATAATGGGTTCATTAAAAAAAGGGTTAAATGTAACACTTACTGGGCTTAATCATACGGACTTAATTATTCTTAGCAGAGACCTACCAAAATCACTGGGGCAAATTAATTGCATTAAGCAAATATTGCTAAGGGTGGCTCCAGCTCAGGAAATTCTAAGAAAGTAACAGAGGAGTTGCCATAATTTATGATCTGCTTACTTGTGGGCATTTTTCAATCTGGTTTTTAATAAACATTTTCCCTGAAAAAAATTACATAATCCCAGAAAACCTTTTTTTCTTTTTCTTGCTAGCTACATACTGGATTCTCATGCCTTACTTTTAATGGTTTCTACAAGAACCATGATTAATTGTCTCATGCAATAAATAATTTCTCCTGTCTACAAGGACATAAATGTATTCAGCAAAAATGTAGCCAACCCATGTGGGCTACATGCAGTCCTTCGGGCAATTTTTGCAGTCCCTGGAGCCCCTCAAATTGCACTGCTAAAATTTAGTGTCAAAAAGCTGACTTAGGGCAATGCAGTTTCACTTTTTAAAATAAGAAAAAAAGGTTATGGATGTGTTCCTCTGGAAAAACAAAACAAAACAATCCTGGAGGTTGAAAAAAAAAGTTAAATAAAGTGCAGTTCCTGGCTACAGAAATGGCTGCCTGTCCTACATTAGACTTAAGCATAAATAAGCATAAATTCTTATGCCTGTGAAGAGGCCTCCTATTCTTCTGCTTCAAACAGGCCATTCTATTGGCAAAGGTTAAGTTTTGACCAACACAGCCTTCCCCAATCATGCCTTCAGAATGTGTTATGGCTACTCACTTCCAGCCAACAGAGAACTGTAGCTCAACTCATTTAGAGAGTACCAAGTCCTTATAGTGAAATTTGGCTTTCCTAATAACCTTTCAAAATACTAACATCTACAAAAAGGATTAAAAAAAAAGTTTGAAGCTCATCTCATTTGGATTTGCTTTGTGCAGATATATTTGAATTAAATATTGTTTACCTTTATGGATATGGACAACATCATTTTCACTGAATGTAGGCCAGACTGGTGCTTCTAGTTCTTTATCTCCTCTATGATTTGTCTTCTCAATTGGAATGTTGGTAGGTTCAGGTACATACATTTCTGCAAAATAATAAGGAACTTACAGGAAAGCTAGCTAACCTAGGCAGCAGCATTGTTAACAATGAAAGAATGCTATTTAAAATGGAGCCAGCATTCAATATATAACAACTTGCAATACATCAATGAATTATTTTTTTAATTCTCCAGAGGTCTAGGTGTAAATAGGCTGCATAAAATTATAGAGTAAAAGGAAGCAGAAAAAATAATGTCTGGTAATAGCATTAGGAAAACCCAGTCCTTATCATTGATAATTAAGAATAGATGAGCAACTGCTAGGTTTTTTAATCACCATGTAAAAATGATTTTGAAGGGCAGCCCCATATAGGCTGCATTGCAACATGAGGTAATAAAGGCATGAATGACTCTGAGGAGGGAACCCCGGTTCAGGTGAGGGTGTAACAGACAAATCTGGATGAAGACCCTCCTGGGCACTGTTGCTAACTGTTCTTCCTTGAGCAGGAGCTGAGGAATCCAGGAGGACACCAGTTCAATTTGAAACCCTAACCAGAATTAAACATGCAAAATCCCTGATACTGGAAGAGCCAAAAACCCATAGACACGGCTCATCAGGATTGAGTTTGTTCTTCCCTATCCAGATCTTCACATCCTCCAGGAACTGGAACATGATCCTGATAACATCGCTTAGTCAGACTGGAGTTGAGATGTATAGATGACAGCCCTGCATGGTAGTCCAGTTCAAGAAACAAACACCATGTAGGCCTAAAACTACTTTTATTAGAATGTCTACAGTAACAGAATCTTGCAAGTCTAAATGTGCTTCCTCTTCTTCCTCTTTTATCTTCTTGTGAATTAGGGGGGCATCTGCCTTAGGCATTTTCAGAAATCTCTATCTTTGTAGGGGCTTAAGGCACATTTCTCTGATTGTTGCTTTGGTTAATGGATCTTCCTTCTCTCCCTCCAGGCCATCCTCTATACTCTCTGTAATAACTGAGTATATACAGATAGTATTGGACCCTGTGTTAACATATGACGTATCTGGTATTTTCATGTACATATTAAACAGTAGAGATGAGAATGTCAATCAATAGTATTGAAGGACGCACAGAGATAAAGAACAACCAGGGTGGTCACACCATCTCCATCCTAGCTCTGCCAGAGGTCATTCACAAGCATGATAAATACTGTCTCTGTACCAGGTTGTGGCCCAAACAGAAAGAATCCAGCTAATTTGCTTCATTCAGGATTCTCTGAAATCACAACACAACCACTTTCTCAACAAGTTTCCTAAGAAAGGGAAGGTTGGATACTGGGTAAAAATTGTTCAGAACTGTAGGGTCCAGTGATAGCTTCTTTAAGAGGTGGCATGTCATCAACTTTTCCAAGACAGATTGTGAACTAGTGTTGTATCTGAACTGGGCCAAAACTGTACTGTAATCAAGGAAACTTTAAAATGTTGCAAGATGGAACAAATCCTTCTCCTAATTAGACATGTTTCTTTTGAGATACGAAAGAAAAATAATTGTTTCTGAATCCAAGTCTTGATTTCAATACTGGATACCTGAGAATCAAACCAAAACCTTTCATTTAATTCTCCATTTAATGGAAATATTTTCTTTCATCTTTCCAAACCTTTTCCTTATCTTGGACAAGTGATTATTGAATGTGTTTATGTAAAAAAATTGATTCTGGCTAAGTAAAGCACAA